TAAACCTTGATGTTTTCTGCTCTGTAGTGCCCCCAAGTGATTAACCTCACACTGCAGTAGTGACGGTCAACAATTAATTTCTAGGGATTCGAGTTGCTGCTTTCAAGGGCAGGTTTCATACTGAAAACTAATAGAGGGACTTGCAAGTAGATACTTGGTTTGAAAGTCCCTGTGATTCCCTCTGCTTCCAGAGTGATGTCTACCACTATGCTTGTATGCATAAAATCAATTATTTCTTTAACAACTTTAATTCAGTCATTAGTCATTCAGTGTAAGTTTTATCTGAATTATGCTAGTCTGTCACCCAGGGAGATGTGTATATCTCTGCCAATGATGCACCTAAATTTCCCCAAAAATTAGAGATGAGGGGCAAGGTATTTATCTCTGCTCCTCAGAGGTTAGGGGTGGTGCTGCAATGAACTTAATGCAACTGGAAATGCAACTTGTGCATCTGAATGCTTAGAGGTGGGATGTAGGAGCTGAGGCTTCTGCAGGGCCATGTCTGCTTTTGGGCCAGTCTGAGCCTTTATTTCATGATCTGTGAACATCAGTGTCAGCATTCCCATTTTACAGCCATGGAAATGTTCTTATACAGAATGTGCTATGAAGGAGTTCAGTTGCACTATTAATGCTTCAGTATACGACACTCAACAAGTTATTTCATGTGTTTCATCTTACCCACCTGTAAAACTGACAGCCCAGCAACTCTCTTATCGTGGAAACCTGGGCAAAAGCTCTGGCGCATATAAAGTGTTTTGAAGTGTGCATGTTACAACACTTACTCAATAATGGCTGCAAGGCAAAAGGCTTTTTAAGTATTCTTAATCTAATTCTTCGAGACTCAGCAGCTGGAAGAAAGATTTCTGTAGCCTACAGCAAGAGTATCTTATTTTTTTCCTTTCAAGAACTGCTAAGAGGACTCGGGGGTAGAGGGAACAGCTCTTGTTTAAGCTGAAAAAGATGCTCCCAGATGTTTGAGATATGAAGATTCAGAATTCTAAGCCATGCAGAGTTTGATATTAAGAATGGATTTTTATCTTTCTTACCATGAGTCTGTTTGTTTACTTCACAGGTGAACGGAAAACTAGTAGCAAGAGATGCTGGACACCCCCATTATCCCTTCAATGACCCCTATTAACTGCTAGAAAATGTGTTAAAGAGTAACACGCTCCTCTGCATGCCCCTCCACAAAATAATTGTTGCCACAATTTATCCAAAAATCTGACGAAATAAAACCTTCCTTCCTGATTAGGTTTTCTTACAATGTACTGTTTCCAATTGACCTCCTTTCTGGAGATACTGTAGCTTCCATGTCAGAGTTTCTTGATTTATGACAATGACTGCAAGCTCACTCCTAGAAGCACCAAATCTTTCATGGATTAGATAAAGACTGGGGGAGCCTAAATCAAGTTCCAAACACATCATTATCAGGTTAGGGCAAGCAATACTTTGTGCTTTACTGCCTCTGAAACAGTTTGAAAGCTTTAGTGATTCCCATGAGGGGAAAACAAAAGGGTGAAGGCATGAAAGCTTTTTAAGACTAAACAAGAGTTCAGACATCAACTTTGATATTTTTATCAATAATTTTTATATAAGGAATACATTGAAATGTGCTACAGCTGCACTATGTCTATAACTCATTCATTAAAACCCAGGTAAGAAGCCATGCCCAGTACTTTAGAGTATGCCCAGTACTTTAGAGTATTCATAGGACTTTGAATTCTCTATTTTCATTTTAATTTGCCTGTAGATTTGAGGAGAATAAAGGCATACCTTGGAGCAGGTCTTCAGGGCAATCCTCTCTGTTGCTTGTCATGTGTGGATCCCTTTCTGCTCTGCCCGTCCTGTCACAAACACCTCAAGAACATTTTAGCAACTCTTGTAGAAAAACATCCTGCTTTTCCTGTAGAGTTGTCCCGTGTCTCTTTACCAAAGTTGTTCAGCTTATGTTGTGGAAGGTCACAAAAGTAGCTCCTGACTCCACAAGTAAGACCCTGTCAGAGAGTCTCTTCCATCTGAATGTTCCATTTTTCACTGCTGCCTGGGCTGATGCTTGGGAGAGCTGGTCCTGTCTTCTGGTCTACACACTGGGCAAGTAACTTGCCTTTCTGTGCCTCTGTTTACCCACTTGCCATGTCTCTGTGTTACTCCCTGGCAGGGACTACTCCTGGTTGAGCAAGACTGGAAGTCTAGCAACAGTTTTAATTGTTTCAGTCTCTTCATGAATTTTCTGGCCATCTGAGCACAAAGGGCATGAGATGTTGCTACCTACCAGTCTCTGATGGTGAAACCTTCTGTGGCCTTAGCAATGTTAATGCTTTATTTTTGGGTTTTTTCTCTCCCTGTGACATAGGACTAATGCTCATTTGTCCTAGTGCAGACAGGGTAGCAAGGCAGGGCTAAATCTGTGATTTAAAACAAAATAGCTCTTTCAGATCTGTTGATGCCATTCAGGCAGTCATAGGCATGACTCCTTGTTTGCTGCTGGTTAAAGAAAGCTTAACTGACTATAAGGGAAATAAAAAACATTTGTTTTGTTTTTCCCATAGCAGTAGCAAATATAGAATTAGAAAAATAATCCTCTGTATTCAAATAGTTAAAAAAAAAAATTAGTTTTTATAGCCTCATCTACAGTTGGCCTATACTAAAACTATATATTCATCCCAAGTGCAATGTCTCCTCATGCATTCCCTGTCCTGGGCCTCACAGCCTGCAGCTGAACTGGAAAAAACCTGTTTGTCACTTTTTGTAATCCTTATGTAAAAGTTAAAGAATTTCTGTTCCTCAGTAAAGCATTTCCTAATTCCTGCTGAATTTACCTCAGCAGAGGAAGCTATTGCAACTTACTTAGGATTTTTTACTAGATTGGTTGTTTTCTTCTAAGTGAAATTAAATCCTTTGTTGATCTTTTTCTTACTCTATGTGACTTTGAATACAAATCTTGCTGCAAATCACTAGGGAAGCAATTTTAGTTTGAAGGTGCCATGTAGAATGTTAGCAGCACTCATTCTGCAAAGAAAACTGGCTTTGTTGCATGTATTTCCACTTGCATGTTTCCATGTCTTCAATAAATACTCTGTTTGGTTATGACTGAGACTTTTTTCTTCCCCTCTTGTGTCAGGGCCCCAGTTAATTTTTCCTAGTTACTCTGTAATCAAGAGAACTAAGCAGGAAGAGAGAATTCCCAAGAAAAGCAGATTAATTCTGTATCTCTGTGAAGGCTACACTTCCCAGCTCTGTCGCTGCATGGAGTTAACGCTGCAACTGAAGCTGGAGAACTCTTATATTGAAGTAATTCAGGGGGAAATGAGCCTCCAGGTCTCCGCCAATGGGTTTGCTGCTGCTGTGCGACTTTTCTGGAGGTCTCTGCTGCCTCAGCTGCAGCAGCCATGTCGGCCTTGTCTGGCAGGTTCCGTGTGCTGTGTTAGAAGCAGAGCAGCTGCTTCAGTGGAGCTGGAGCCTGCGGACTGGTCACCTTGAGCTGGCTGAGGCAGGTGCGGGCAGATGATGATGCCAGAGGAGGGTGTCAGTGCCTCCTGAAGCGTCAGGCGGAGATGTGGGAGCTTTCCAGAGAAGGGGCTGCAGCAGGGGGGTTGGACTCGATGTTCGGAGGTCCCTTCCAGCCCTACCGTTGTGTGGATGCGCCCCAGGTTAACGAGCGCCTGCCCAGCGGGGCTGAGGAGGGGCCGTGCGCGCC